GTCTAGGCCCGAAACGTCAGCCTTTCTGCTCCTATGATGCTGCTTGGCCTGCTGTGTTCATCCAGCCCTGCACCTTGTTGTCTCATATTCATTTTGAGATTGGCTTCCCTTTGCTCAAATGTGACGGAGCTCCAAGGGGTGAGGTGGGGGCAAGGGAGGGGGTATTTCCTGTCACTTCTACTTTCTATAATGTTACAATATGATTAAGTTAAATACTTTATCTGTGTCAGGTTTAAACAACAATAAAATTTAAACAGCAGATCTAATAACCAAGTTGCTTACTAAACACATTTATAGATTTTCTACTAAAACAAGACTTAATCAATCAGTGAATATGTGATAAATGAACATACACAGTCAGTGATATAGAAATATAATGGTTTATCCCTATAAATACCACAAAACGCACTCTTCAGGAAAAGCAAAAAAAAACGATTTCTCTGCAAAAATTGGCCTTGTGAAAAGCAAAAATGGCCAATAGGCTATTCTCGAAGATAAAAGGATAAAGCATAGGATGTTCTAGATTCTGCTGCTCTGATATTCTGGCAGGTGTGGTCAAGTCACTAAAACCATGCATGATGTGTCTGAAGCCTTAAAGACACAGTTTGCTCAGGAAAACCAATCCGGAGATGTTTCTTCAATCATTGTTTCAAAAGGCATCTTGAACTCAACAAGTAGCATTTATTTTCAGAAACTTAAGACGGCAACTGGGCAGCTTGTTCTTAGGAGATTTTCCTCCAACTTAGCTTGTTCTTAGCTTTCTTTCCTCAAATTCATCTGGTTCTTATCAGGCTTTCATGCCACTGGACCAAATGAAATAATACCTCTCCAAACCATTCACTGTACAAAATAACCTTGGTATTGTGTCAACAGCAAAGTAATCAGTTATCACCAGTCGTGTGAACAGGAAACCTTGTTAAAAACAACTCCAATGTCCACAGTAAACTTTCAATGTCCTCTTTTTAAAGAAACACACCAGGTATTTACACAAAAATAAACCCATTTGGCCCTTATCTTTCAACATGAAAGTGCTCCAAGTAATATTAAATATTGTTGCACTTGCCATAACTTCTTTCCTTGGCCATTAATTCTTTTCTGCTCCTTAACAACAATCTGAATTTGAAACAGACTGTTAATAACTCTGATATTGTATATGATCTCATTGGGAACTTCCAAAAAGTGCTTACTCCCACGTCTGAAACATTCTTCAACTCCACCCTTGCCTCACCTCAGAGGCTGCATAAATCCTCATCCATCTCTTTGTTACTGATAGAGATGTCTGTTCCAGCATACTCCTGGTTGGCCGTTCAAGTTTATTCCTCCCTGAAGTTGAAGTAATCCACAACTCTGCTGCCTATGTACGAAACTGCACTGAGACCAATTTACCCTTCAATCCCTAGGTCCTGACCTACATTAACTTCCAGCTCAGCAACACCTCAAGTTTCAAAATTCTCAGTCTTGTTTTCAAGTACCTCGAGGCTTCACCTCTTCCTATCTCTGTAATCTCCTCCTTCACCATTACTTTCTGAAATTTCTATACACCTCTAATTGTGGTCTTTTGAGACTCCCAATTTGAATTGCTGAGCATTGGCAGCATACCTTCAGCTGCCTTAATCTAAAGCTTTGGAATTCCCTCTCATGACCTCTCAACATTTCTGTTCCTGTGAAGTACCTTGGGATGTTTCTAAAATAACTCTACAGAGGCCAGTATCCCATCACCAAGTCACCCTTTATTTACTCGTGGAAAGTCCTTAACAATAATCCTGCTTCCTCAGAGCTAGCTGTCAGATTGAGCAAAACCTCTAACACTCCTGTTTATATCTGTCAGCCAGGGCTCCCTGATTGGACCAGATTAACAGCCCCAATCAGGGAACTCATATTCTATGGGTCCACCTGGCTGACCTTGTTACAATCACTACAGTTTCCCCATGGTAAAGGTGCTACAAACACAAGTTGTGGTTGATCTTGTAGTAGCCCCCCTTTCTGTCCAAGCTGAAGCCCTGTGATCTATTTGTATAAATTTTGATTCTACTCATCCCTATAATGCTACAACTCTTCTATCTTTGGGAAACCTCTGCTTTTTATATCTGTCTCAGTTCTTTGCAATTCCAGTGTAACATTGTGTCAGGGTCAATGGCTACTCTGTCTTGGTGGTATAAGTCTTGGCATGAACCCACTGTGTATATTTGATGAGCCTCACCAAGGGAAATAGGTCAGCTTGCATTTTAACAGCTGGAACTCTGACATGAAGAGGATACCTTGACATAATCGGTCAACATGGACCACACAGCTGAGATTACTGTATCCTCTACTAATGTTCATAGCTGTATACTTCCAGCACAGATGACGGGACATTGAAGCATACCTTTGTGTTAGATATGATTAAGATATTGGACAGGCCATCAAGGTGCCTGAACTAATGATCTAGAGTTATACATTTAAATTCTACAACAGCAGGTAGGGAATTTACATTCAATTATTTAAGTAAGTCTGAAATAAAAGAGTAATAGCAGTAAAGCTGACATTGAAACAATCAGACTCTTGTTTAAAAAAAAGCATCTTGTTTACCAATGCCATTTAGGGAAGGAGATCTTTCATGCTTATCCAGCCTAGCCTACATGCAACTCCAACGTCATATAAATGTGGGTGACTCTTAATTGCCCTCTGAAATGGCTTAATGAGCCATTCAGTTGTCTAAAGGACAACAAAAATTGACACATACATCCTGCGAATGAATAAAATAATCAAGGCCAGGCACTCTGGACTGTTTTTCCTTACTTAGCTAAGGCTTTTTGCTGTTATTCGATGCATCTGTTGCATGAGACTATTTGCCTGAGATATCGAACCTAGTATTTCATCCTTTCAGATAACACATGTAGAATTATTACGTACCAGTAATTTAGTACCACATTCAGAAAGCGGGATTTTCACCAGGAGGTGAGTGGTATTACCAGTGATGTTACAAGATGCATCATTGAGCTGTAGGTTACTCTCTGGCAAGTTGGCTACCAAACTTCTTGGGACAGTTAGAACCATTGCATGTGTTGAGCACTGGAGATCTATGACAAATAGCACAAGTAAGCTTTCCTTTTGTGCTGCAACATTGTAATCTATCATGTTATATCATAGATCTAGTAATGTTACTTTGCTGTTTTGTAGGAGGTGCTTTCACTAACATTGAACTCTAATTTGGACTGCTGCATCATGTTTTACAAACAATATCGTAGTTCTGTGGCAGGACAGAGAAGCAGATGCGTGATCTAACTGCTGACTGTATCACAACCTTGCAGCACACTGCCTGTCATCGTTTCTTGTGTAATGCAAGTTGTGTTCAGGGTAGTTCTTGTAGAAAGTTTTTAAGTTCACATTACAAAACTTAAAACATGGACCATAATGAATAGGCCATAAAATCCCACTCTTGGAATGTTGATGTTTTTTGTGAGAAAAAAAAGCAAAGCAGTTTATAAGAAGAATTCTGAGACTTTGAGAATGTTTTATCCCTAATACTGTCAGCAGGTTCGTAACACTGTCTGAGACAATTAGTTTTGTTTGCTTTACATGATGCACACTGTTACACTGACATAAAGATTAATATGACAGTGATCACATTGTATATGTATCAGGAATAATTCATAAGTCTTAATCATAAAATATTTGTTGCAAGTTGGGTAGAGTACTTGTGAATTAGAAGGCAGGATGTTAGAATTTGTTTTAAAAATGATAGGGAGGAAGAGTCCATGGTCCCTTTAAGAGGTGTTGTCCTTTTCTAAGCTTGGAGATTTTAAAAAAAAAGTCTGCAAGCAGCTGTGGATGCATAGACAGTTCTGAAATTGAATCATATGTATCAATTGTTGTTTGGCGCGCAACCTAGGCTTGTTTTGATGTTAAGGCAATCAGTTTGAATATCAGCCAATTAATTTAAACCAGGACCTAGATACCAAAACACAATTAAATTTAAATCTGATGGTGTTGACAACCTAGGACCAATCTTATTATAAGAAAACTGACAGGTCATCAAGGGTATAAAGGAAGACGGTTTTGAAAATCAGTGTGAGAGCGAACTGCCATCGGAGAAGTAAAACTCTGCCTCTCAGAAATCTTTAAGCTCACTGATTAAGCACCACCACACCTTTAGCTAATATTCCTGATGCAAGGATTTGACAAAGAAAGAATTCCTGACTGAAGAATAGCTGAAAAGGCACGGAACATTCTGAAAGATGCATCCTGACTGTAGTTTTGAGAGTCTAAGTTTTAATTCATTTTTTCTTATTACTTTGGTTTATGTAAGTGGGACTTGCATTTATTGGAACAGCATGCCATCAGAACTTTGTTCTGTTCGAGAATAGTTAGTAATTAAGGGGGAATTGTTCAGTTTGTTAGTAGATCTGTTAATTTGTTCGCTGTTAGAGTTAGATAAATAAATTGTTACGTGTTGCTTATAAAGTGAGTATCAGGGATTTCTTTCATTTAACCTCTTCTTTATAACAGATTGGGAGGTGAAAGGCAGGTTATACTATTTTTCCCAATTCCTTTAGCAGATTATGAGGCAAGGCGAGCTTTTCTGGGTGTTCAGTTTTAATTGTCAGAGGGGTTTGACCTTCTTGCCATAACAAATTAAACACTTAATAAGATCGCAAATAAAAACAGCAAATGTGAACACTTTACCGATAGCACATTTTGTTCTTTGTACACTTTGCCTCAGTCCTACAATTTGTTTCCATTTAATATCACTGAGATGTCTCAAACCTATTTTGATCAGGATTCCATTTACCTTTATCCATTTTTCCATGAATCTTCCATGAATCTTAAGGACTTAAAGGTTGAATGCAAGAATTCTTACCTGGGCCAATTAGTGACGGTTCATCATGTAAGCCTGTGCCTTTAAATAAAGAAAAAAATAAAATTTGATGACTCCATTAGTAAATAGACATAAGAGAAATAAAGAGCACCTAGCCAGTGTGATTGACATTTGCATTCTGACTTTCCACAGTCTTGAATTATCACATACTGCTTCAAAATGTTCTGGGATTGTAACACTATCTATCTGCTTTAGTTACATACTATTGGAAACTAGTTTAAAACAGTTATTCAGTGATCTCACAAGAACAGAGTATAAAAGATCCAACACACCACTTGCAACCTCACATAGTTTCTTTAATAATAGTTCTGTATAAGTTTTCTTCTCCTTGAAGTATACCTTGAAGTTTTACACATCTAACTCTAAGCTGAATAGCCATGTCACAGAATTATGTTTTGTTGAGTAAAGTACCATCAATCTTGCAGACTTTTTTATTTGTTCATGGACTGTGGGCAGCATTGGCTGGGCTAGCATTTATTTCTGAGCCCTAATTGCAGGGTAGTTAAGAATCAATTATGTTGCTGGGGGCCTAAAGTCACATGTACATTCACAGAATCCCTACATTGCAGATATAGGCCATTCAGCCCATCAAGTTTGCATTGATCCTCCACAGAGCATCTCTCCCTGAGCCCCCTCACCTGCATCCCTGTAACCCTGTATTTCCCATGGCCAACCCACCAAGCCTGCACATCCTTGGACACTACTGGTCAATTTAACATGGCCAATCCACCATACCTGCACATCTTTGAACTGTGGGAGAAGACCGGAGCACCCAGTGGAAGCCCACACAGATACGGGGAGAATGTGAAAACTCCACACAGCGTCACCCAACGCTGGAATCGAACCTGGACCCCTGGTGCTGTGAGGCAGCAGTGCTAACCACTGTTTCGCCTGTGTAGGCCAGATTGGGTAAGGACGGCAGATTTCCTTCCCTGAAGGATATCAGTAAACCAGATAAATATTTACAGCAATTGACAATGGTTACATAGTTGCCATGAGACAATTCTTTTTTATTTTCATTCAAGACGTCTATGAAATTCAAATGTCACCATCTGCCACAATTGGTTTCAAACCCATGTCCCAGAACGTTAGTGTGAATTACAAATAGCATTAAAAGAGAGAACTAAATCTGGACCTAATACTTTTCTGACATATCACACACATAATTAGAGACATTGAATTCCTTCTCACATTGGAATGAAAAAGCAAATCACCAGGACTGATACTTACTTAGGACAATCCAGATGCACTGTGGCTCTGACTGTAGCCTAAATGAAAGGAAAATGAATAAGTAGGAATGATTTCCTTTGGGAGACACAGCAAGAATACTGAATTTTGCAATTGATTGGTCAAAGATGTATCTTTTCTCCTTGTCCCAACAAGGCACTGCATGTCTATGGAAGGAATCAGTACCAGAGTGAAATTGTCAGGACCCTAACAGTCTTTCCTCAACGCCACTTTCAACATTCTCAATCTGGGTCAGAAACCAATGAGTTCAAGTTCTAATCCAGGACCGAAGTAAGGACCTAAACTAGAGCTAACATTCCAGAGTAGCATTCAGGGAATGCTGCCAAAACTGGATTATCACAGATTCAGCACTTCAGGTGAGAAAGTAAACAGTTCCAGTGGTTAGGATGGACGTTGTAGATCTAACGAGCTTAATTTGAGAAAGAACGTGGAGATTTCCTGGTGTCCTGTTGGAAATTCTGCATTTGACAAAGGTTATTGAGATTAAGATGGAAGTACAAATCTGAAATTTTGACTTTTTTATAGCCTAGATAAGAAATGAAGCCAGCGACGGGCAATTTGATTTTGCACAGCATCACTGCAGCTGTTTCAATATTATGATGTTTTCGTTGAGATATAAAGGAAGAAGAGGATTTCCAGCTCAGGAGTACAAAGGCTACTAAATGATTAACCAACATGAGATTACAGAATAAGAAATTCAAAGACTGGAGGACGATAGAGAATGGTTGGAAGCAGGACAGGAAGAGAATCGTGGAAAGGGGTCTTGCAAGAATCTTAGTTTTCATTTTTCTTAGAAGTTACATTTCCATAGTGTTATGACAAAGTATTAATTCCTAACTTTATAACATTTATAATTTCATATATAAATAATCAATTCGCATTAGTTTAAGCAAAATTTCCTTTAACCAAATACTCCTTTGCTTTTCATTAGGGATGCATATGTCAATGTATTGATTTCAATGAACGCACTATTTTTGACTTCTTCCTGTTATATTTGCATTCCATAATTATATAATTCATGAAATCTTACAGAGTTAAAATGTCTGTCCTCCCCCAACCCCAGGAAAGTGTAAATCTGACAATGACTGCACACTTGTGTCTCTAACAGAAGTTGGTGCAAACGATCCCTTACCCTGATGAAGTTATTGAGACAAAGCACACTGCAACTTGTTTTGGAGCATCATGAACTCCCACTGACCAAGAAACATTTGTCGATACAGATTTGTCACCGTTGACACTCCACATCTCTGATTTGTGTAATCCATGGGGACCCACTATTGTAAAGCCTGTGATTCTGACAAATAAATAGAAGAAAGAATGAATTAAGGACTGTCTCTTTGCCCTCAATATTTAAAATTGTCTTCCGTTACAAGCATTATGGATAGTAGTTGATGTATTGAAGCTCAGACCTGTTAAGTGATGTGAATGACACAGCTAATGGCTAAAAATGATATACACCAAAACATACGATTCCTTTTAGAATACAGAGGGGAAGGCCATAATAGAATGGCTTTGGTGGATTGGTTTTTCCTGATCAGCAAGTTATCTTGACTTCTACTAATGCAAACAGCATGTCATGATACTGTTTTGGATCACTTAGAAATATGACAATCCCAACCATTATTAAAACAAAAACGATTATGGCATCCACAGTGGTTCAATTGGTAACTACTTTGTTCATCGTGAAAATGTGTCAAGATAATTCCAGGTGCATTCTTGAGGACATGGTAAATTAAATGTCCTCAGTGTTGTATGTGATTTTAAATTGGTTAATTTTGAGGAATGTCATAAGCGCTGCACCGTACAACGGTGCATGCAGAACAACTTAGGATCTCGAAGAAGTAAGACCTAATTCCTGATCCTCCTCCAAGTCTCTGTAGTGGCATCTATCATATCAATGTAACCTGTAGTTAGTGGCTAACATACAATAAATTATGCCTTGTTAACTACAAGATACTCTTCTAGTTATACCTGGGAATGGTTTACCTCCATTGCACTATTTCCAACAGGGCCTGCAGTTTGTACATTTAACTTAAAGAAGATAACAGCAGCAACCTTCCTCTTCAGCAACGGATCCTACAATGTAATGAGTTGGCATGCCTATACAATATTCAGTATCTTGGGATAGGGAAGAAAGATGTTGTTTGGATTTTTACTCCCGATCACTACTCAATGGCCAATGCTGTTTGTGTGAGCAAGGAATGGCAACACTGTGGGCAATCAGTGTCATCATGCCAACCAACCAATCAGCACCCATTTCTCCTGCAGTGTGAATTGCTGAAGTCTTTTGAAACTTATTATTCTTGCAATTTCCCTGGTGAGTGAAAGTTCAAAAGCTTCAGCAACATTTCTTTCTTTTCAGCAATAATCAAGTTCTGTACTACAAGCGATTGTACATTAAAACCTGTGGCGCAATGGAGAAAACTTTGGGCCGAGTATGTTCTTTCTCTAGTGGGTGCCATGTTGGAATTCCAATAGAACAGCCGAGGGAATAGACCTTTCTACCAAACATATCAAGGCAGTTCAGCTGTCAGCTTGAAAAATACATGTTAAGCAGCCTGAGGCACAGACCATATCAGACCTGCATAGAATCCTTGGAGTCTTTGATCATAAGAACTGACAAAATGAAATGCTGAATGAACCCACCCAGTGGTCAAGAGAGTTTGGGTGACAGTCCTAGAACTTGGTGACTATTACTTTCCAGTTGTAAAGAGTTGGAAAACTCCACAAAATCATGTACCTATTGGCTATTATATTCCTCAATACAGCTGCTGACTGATATCAGTGATATGTAGTTATAACCTTGAGGAGGTCACAGTGTAATTCATAACATTTACAATGAAAAAGAGATACCTTTCATTTAGACTGATGGCACTTATTGTGAAAGTAATCTCATCATAAAGTGAAGCAGGTATTCTTGCTCCATTTGGAGGTGTTGGATGAACAAACACAGGCCGGAATATTCCAACTGCACATTGTGATATAGACCTGTCCACTGCAACAATTGAAAGGCAGTTACACAAGTGCAGACTACTTTGTGTAGAAAATATTACACATAAGGGTATTGTTCTTCTCAATGTCTCTAACATGACTGATGTTTACTTAGGTTCCTTATACTGTAAAGCTGAGTAGAATTTGAGAATTACAACGAGCGCTATTACTGTAGGGATGCTTCAACACTTAGAATCATAGAATCCCCACAGTGCAGAACCAGACTATTTGGCTATCGAGTCTACACTAACTCTCCAAAGAGCATCCCACCCAGAACCCTATCCTATCCCTGCAAACCTACATTTCCCTTGGCTAATCCATCGAGCCCGCACATCCCTGGACACTATGGGCAATTCATCATGATCAATCCACCCAACCTGCACATCTTTGGACTTAGATGGCTCGTCTGGCTATTCTCCCAGAAGTATTTAATCCAAACATGTTAGCACTTGCAGTGTTGGGCCTCATTAAGAGCAAATTCCAGCCATCCAATCTATCAGTGTTTGAAACAATGTGGTTCTGAGGCAGTGCCTCTGGAACTGCTGCAGACATTTTGAGACAAAAATGAAAGTTTTCTGGTGTTTGTTTAGTCAGCACTATGCAAAGATGGAACATCAGTGTTTTAGAACACCAAGGTTTCTTTATTCATCACTGGGGGTAATGTGGGAAGAAGTAGGGCACTGGATGTTTGCCTTAGGCTAATAATTTACAAAAGAATAAGGAAAATGCGGCAGAAGGTCAGGACTGCATCCCCAAGCTGCCATGTGTTCATCCTTTGTTACTTTCATGGCAGTGGATAACAAGGTATGTAGATGTCCCATTTGTTACCATATTTAAATCAAGCTGTCCAATTCCAGCTGGGAGCTTGATTTAAATATAACATGCCCATGGTGAAAGGAAGGCCAGAGCTGCAACCTCTACAAGCCAAAGTGCTTTTAATAGCCTCCTTGAGGACCAAAAGGAGCTGGAGTCCTGTCCTCCATTCCTTAAGGAAGCCTTCAACCTCCGTAATGCCTTCTAAGGTCACTCTCTAGACTCTGCTATGATTACGGACTCCTCCCTTCCAGCTGTCCTCCTCTATGAGGCCCCCATTACTATTTTCTCAAGTGGTAGCAACCAGCCTGTGAAGTTGGCCAGCTGCCAAGTGGGAAACAGTAAAGTTATAACACAGTTTTGCCATTAAATTTAGTTAAATATCTGTAAACTGGTTGTGCTGAGTTCTTTTTGTTCTACCACACTTGCCTACACCTGCATCCTAAATACTAGGGTGCTCAGCTTGCTACGCGTGGAAGAATAACAATAGTGTCACTACAGGAATGTTTTAATAATCTCTTCTTCAATGTTAGATTTCTAAAGTCTACAATAGTCAAATTGTTTAAAATAATTTTCAGAATACCACTTATTCAAAAGAAGCACTTATTAATCTTACCAATGGCTTCTTTGATATAATTCTAAGCCATAAGGAGCAGAAGGCCACAATTTCCATCAGCAGTTGAATTATCCAGGATAACATTTGAGGTGACTTTGTTGACATCATTAATACTGGGCCCGGAAGAAGGACAAAGAGCCAAGCTTGCTGCTCCTGGGTCTTGTGTTGAAAGAGTCCAATGCTGACAAAGTACAGATTGTGATTGGTGCACCCCACCTCCACTTTGTGGCTAAACAGCCTCTAAGTGTCACTATGTTATACACTCAAGAGATGCTACTGGAAGTTCCTTCGGAAGAAGGGTGATTTAAACTGCAAAGATTGCTTACCAATGATCACAAATTGCATCGGAATGGAGCTAAGGGCTTTAGTGCTTTGATTGAATGCTGTGGACGAAGTGTCTTCAAAAACAGAGTGCAGGGTCTGTGTGTCATCACTGTGTGTCAGGACAGTGGCTTCTCTTGGATAGTCTTCAATTACCAGTTCTACGCTGTATGTCCCATATATCCCGCGGCCATTATAATGAAGGACACAGTTTTCCTGCAAGAATACTTGAGTAAATGTTAACACATCCTTCCTCCTCTCCATATTCTTATTGTTATGCTTGCTGTGGAATCTCCTGTTCTAATGCGTACCTTGAATCCCAATTCTGTAAATTCACTCACTTTCTCAATCTTTCTTGCCTTCTCCAATTGTTAAGTTTTCAAAATCAAAGCTTGAAGTCATATAGATTTGTTTTATATGTTGGTCTACTCTTTCTAACTTGGGTGATATCCTGTGGCTTTGACAATTTGGATTCCTCAAGTACAAAAGTGACTAATTGAACATAGACCTAATTATCATCAGAAGGTCAGACATCACACAACACCAGGTTATAGTCCAACAGGTTTATTTAAAATCACAAGCTGTCAGAGCACTTCATGTTACCTGACAAAGGAGCAGCGCTCTGAAAGCTTGTGATTTTAAATAAACCTGTTGGACTATAACCTGGTTTTGTGTGATTTCTGACTTTGTCCCCCAGACCAACACCAGCATCTCCAGATCACCATCAGAAGGATATGACTTCTGTTTGAGTTGTATTCTTTAATTGTCGCTGACAATAGGGCCAGAAATTTTACAACAGTACCAAAAAATTAACAAAATAAAGTCAATCAAAATTGATTTTATTTCAAGCATATCCACATGGTTCATCTGATGTGATTTCATATGGCTTCTAGGCCCTCAACACCACTGCCTGAAACAAATAGGAAATTGATTACAAATTCCAATCAGAATCCTGTGAAAATTGTGGGATTTCACCTGGGGTAGTGTAGCAGCACACAGCCCCTACCCATTTGTACCAGGTTTTGGGCAGCCTTGCCAGCTGTCTTCAAAGGATGCTGGAGATTGCTCCAAAAATGACTTGAACAATTTTCAGGGTGACTCTTTGCAGGAAAGTTCTTCCTGGCCTAACAAAATTGCTGCCTGACACTGGATAGCCTATCTCTCACCCACAGAACCAATGGATGTTCACTCACCTAGTCCCATTCAGGAAGCAACAAGGTGCAGGGCTGGATGAACACAGCAGGCCAAGCAGCATCATAGGAGCAGAAAGGCTGACGTTTCAGGCCTAGACCCTTCATCAGAAAAG